AGGAATTAGAATAGGCATTGAGGAAACAAAATTATCACTGATTGCAGATGCTGTGATGGTATATTTAGAGAATCCTAGATAATTAACTAAAAAACTAGTGGAAATAATTAACAACTTTAGCAAAGTTGCAGGATACAAAATAAACCCACATAAATCATCAGCATTTCTATATTACCAAAAAAGTCCAGCAGCAAGAGATAGAGAAATTCCATTTAAAATAACTGTAGACCCTATAAAATACTTGGGAGTCTGCCTGTCAAGACAAACCCAGAAACTATACAATTACAAAATTACAGCTGGAAAAATATTAATTGCTCATGGGTAGGTGGAGCCTATATAATAACAATAATCACCTAAATTACTCTGTTTAGTGCCATACCAAACTACCAAAAAATTATTTTATGTAACTAGAATAATTCATCTGGAAAAACAAAAGGTCAAGGATATCAGTGGAGGAAATGGGGGAAAAAAATGGTAAAGAAAGGTAACCTAGCTATACCAGATCTCAAAAAGTATTATAAAGTGGTAATTATCAAAACAGTCTGGTACTAGCGAAGAAATAAGAGTGGTGGATCAGTGGATTTGATTAGGTACACAATACATTATAGTATATGAGTGTAGTAATCTAGTATATGATAAACCCAAAGATCTAAGCTGTTGGAACAAAAACTCATTATTTGACAAAAACTGTTAGGAAAACAGCTAGTAAGTGACTGAGGCAAAAACTAGGTATAGACTACCATCTCATATAGTATGCCAAGAAAAGGTCAAAATGGATACATGACTTATTTTAGCTATAAAGGGTGATACCATAAATAAATTAGGAGAGCATGGAATTGTTTATGTGTCAGATAATGGAAGAATTTATGATCAAACAAGATATAGAGAGCATTATGAAATATGAAATAGATAATTTTGATTATATAAAGTTAAAGAGTTTACACAGACAAAACCAATGCAACCAAAATTAGAAGGAAAGCAGAAAACTGGGAGGAAAATTTTGCAACAAGTATCTCTGATAAAGGCCTCATTTCTCAAATATACAGAGAACTGAGTCAAATTTATGAGAATACAAGCCATTCCCCAGTTGATAAATGGTCAAAGGATATGAACAGGCAGTTTTCAGACAAAGAAATCAAAGCTATCTATAATCATGAAAAAAATGCTTTAAATCACTGTTGATTAGAGAAATGCAAATTAAAACAGCTCTGAGGTACCACCTCATACCTATCAGATTGGCTAATATGACAAAAAAGGAATATGATAAATGTTGGAGGGGATGTGGGAAAACTGGGATGCTAATGCATTGTTAGTGGATTTGTGAACTGATTAACCATTCTGGAGAGCGATTTGAAACTATGCCCAAAGGGCAATCGAACTATGATTGCACTTTGATCCAGCAATGCCACTGTTAGGTCTATATCCCAAAAAGATTTAAAAAAGGGGGGGAAGGACCTATATGTACAAAAATACTTACAGCAGCTCTTTTTGTGGTGGCTAAGAAATGGAAATTTAGGGGATCCCCATCAGTTGGGGAATGGCTGAACAAGCTGTAATATACGATTTTGATGGAATATTATTGTGCTATAAGAAATGACAAGCAGGATGATTTCAGAAAAACCTGGAAATCCTTGCATGAAGTGAAGTGAACAGAATGAGGAGAACATTGTACATTGATCAACTGAATGACTTGGCTGTTTTCAGCAACACAGTGATCTAAGACAATCTCAAAGAACTCATGATGAAACATGCTTTCTGTCTTCAGAGAAAGAACTGTTGTGGTCTGAATACAGACTGAAGTATACTATTTTTCTCTTTGTTGAATCTTGTACCAAATTAATAACATGGTAATGTTTTACATGATTGCACATGTATAACCTGTATTGGATTGCTTACCCTCTCAGGGAGGAGAGAGGGCAGGGAGGGAGGAATAGAATTTGGAACTTAAAACTTAAAAAAAAAAGTTAAAAATTGTTTTAACATGTAACTGGGGAGAAATAAAATATTATTTAAAAAAATCAGCAATAATTCCAGAATCGTGCTCCTCACCTCCTGACAGAGGCATTGGACTAGATGTGTAGAATGAGACACATTTTTGGATATGGCCATTGTGAGATTTGTTTGCTTGATTCTGCACATTTGTTATAAGGGTTTTATTTTTCTTTTCTTTTTTTTTCCCTGATGAGGGAGGGATATGACAGGGAGAGAAGATAAATGCTTAATTGAAAGTTAAATTAAAAATATTTTAAAGTTGCTGTCCTTCTGTAAATTGTTCTCCTTGTTTTGCTCTCTTTATTCTGTGTCAGTTCATATTAAAGATTCTCTAAAATCTCCTTTATGATTTCTTGCAGCATGGTAGTTTTCCAGAAATTTATATATACCACATTTTGTTCAACATTCCTCACTTGTTTAAAAGGCAATCTAAGACCATCTTCTGAAATTCTAGTTTTTACTTTTCTTTCTCATTTTCACATATTCTGCTCTGGGGTAGTAGCCTCCCTCTCAGTGCCTCTTCCCTGCTAACCCGCCCCTCCCCCATTTGCTCTTGTTTATTGGTTGTGTTTGCTGTATTTCTGCACCCAGCTCTTTTTGCTTTTGCAAGTTCAGCCTTCTTTTGTTTCAGATTAGAGTCAGGTTCTTTTGATGCCTATTTTCTCTGCCGCCTCTCTTCATGTTTGTATACCCTTTTTGTGCATCTGAATTTTGAGAAATAACAAATTTTACCCTCTTCTTCCTTTCTACACTTGGGTATTCTTTTTACCTCACCTTTGCTTTCTCCTCTTCATATCTTGAGAATATTCTCAATCTAGCCACAGAACCTCTTTTTTTCTTATTCATCACTCTCTTAATACATTATTACATCATCATATAGCTCCTCATTGCTCAGGTAACTTTTCTTTCTGGATTCTTAGGTTTTTTTATGTTCAAAGCTCCTACTTAGCTTTGGTCTTTTCATCAGAATTCTTGAAGGTCTGCAATTCCATTGTAAGTCCTTCTTCCCCCTTACCCACCTTAGCACCATATTCAGGTTTGCAGGGCAGGTTCTTGGTTGTAATGCTTTCTCTTTTGCATTTTGCAGTATTGTATTCAGAGATCTCATTTTTTATTGAAACTGCTAGGTCTTGTGTGAACCTTAATATAGTCTGTTGATACTTGAACTGTTTTCTTTCTGGATGCTTGCAGTACTTTTTCTTTGATGTGGGAGCTCCGGGTTTTGTCAGTGACATTTCTGGGACTTCTCCTTTTGGGCAGATAGGTGCCAAGCATTTATTAAGCTCTTATTATGTGCCAAGCACTGTCCTAAGCACTGGGTGTACAAATACAAGCCAAAAAGACAGTCCCTGACCTCAGGAAGCTTACATTCTAACGGGAAGACAACACGCAAAAGGAAGCTAGAAAAGGGGAGCGGGAACTTTGGAAGGATGGCGTTGAAGTCTGGAAAGTCCAAAGCAGAGCATCCGAACCAGGAGGAGAATGGAGGTTCTGAGGAGATCTCAGGGCTCAGGAGCTGAAGGAAGTTTCAGGATGAGGCATCTGAGCCATGAGCCATGGTGCTGAAGTGGATTCCTTATGTCTTCATTTTGACTTCTGATTCTAATGGCTCTGGACAGTTTTCATTTATGATTTCTTTAACTATGGTGTCTGCTCCTCCACCCCCCAAATCATGGTTTTCAGGGAGTCTAATGATTGATTCCTAAATCTCCTTGATCTATTTTCCAGGCCAGTTTTTTATATCAGATTTTATAACATTCTATTTTCTCAATCTTTGATTTTATATTAATAATTTTTGACATCCCATGAAGTCAGGGATGTCCATTTGGTCTGTTTTAGGTTTCAGTGGGTCCATTTCTTGGGTACTTTCTCTTCTAAGCTATTTATTCTTCCAAGTCTTCTCCCTAAGAGCTTTTATTTCATTTTTGTATCTTCATTTCTCCTAGGTGGTCCTTGTACAAAATCCATTTTTTTCTTTGATTCATCGTTGCTTTTTGGGGATCTCTAGATTTGTAATGATTTTTGACGCTAGTTGGTGTTTTATTTTCTCATCTGTCCAACTTTAGTTCCTGAACTGGGGCTTTGTACTAGTTCTAGCCTCTGCTTTCTGTTGTTCTGCTGTGTGGGATTGTTGGTCTTGCTTTGAGATCCTTGGAGTCTTGTACTGATTTCCTCCTATGGGGGAGGCCATAGGAGTGTTGGAACTTAAGGTGCCTCAGTGTTGTCTCAGGACAGAACGTTGGGAACTTCAGAGTCTCTGGCTTGGTGGTGTTTATGAGGTTGTCACCGTTAGTGGGGCATTCTCAGAGTTCTCAGGAGAGATCTCTGTTCTTGCTGCCCAGGACACAGCCCTGGCTGTCTTTAGTTGTTCTGGAAGGCTGTGCTGCTTTGGTGCTGGAGAGGCCCTGATTAACTGATCCTCCAGGGTGGAAGAAGTCACTTAGAATAGTTTCTCATTGGGTTTTTCTTTTTCATTATTCCATTTTTTTTTTCATCATTCAAATTTCATTTTTTTTCTTTTTCAGATGCCTAGTAAATATCTACTAAAATTCAACACAGACCTTCATCCCGATGTTCATCCTAACATCACTCTAAAATTCTGCTGTGATGGCATATTTACCCTCTTTCTCATTAGATTATTTAGTCTTCTGGTGTGAATTTCATGTTTTGCTGTGAGCCTTTGATTGGCAGCTACTGAGGAAGCCCTTTAATTTCAAGTGCTCTAGAAATAGACCTGAGTTGTTACTTGATAAATGACCCTTAGGATATTTTATTTTTTTCCCTCTCTATAAACTGTCTCGCTGCTTTTGAGGTTATTGGTATTAAATTATTTTCAATTACTTTATTGATAATAGTGGAAAAACTTGGGGCAGGTTGACTTATCCTCAGTTCTAGAACTTTTTTCATTATTCCCTCTTCCTAGCGTGCAACTGCATTTCTGTGGCTAATGTGTGGTGCACCTTCTCTGCTTCCTATCTATGTGTGTGTAAACTTGTCTTCTATTTCAGAACAGACACAAGAGAGCATCCATCGCTTTGAACAGCAGGCAGGGTTGACAGACGCAGGATACACTCCCCATAAAGGCCTCACCACAGAAGAAACCAAGTACCACCGTGTGGCAGAGGCAGTCCATGTGAGTACCTAACAGCTTGAATGATTTTGAAAAAGTCACTTGCCAGGAATTATCTTCCTTTATCTCCACCTCCTGGTGTCACTGGTGTTCCTCAAGTCCCACCTAAAATCCCACCTTCTACAAGAAAACCTTCCCAATCCCCCTTAGTGGAAGTGCTGTCACTCAGTAATTATTTTCAGTTTTTCCTGTATAGATCTTGTTTCTACACAGTTGTTTGCTGTCTCCCTCATTAGATTATGTACAAAAAAATAATGTACATAATTTCATGTAACAAAAGCTCTCATTTCTAGATTGTTTTAGTTTTTGACTCACCACTTCCTTGTGAGGAAGGAGGTGAAATAATCATTCCTGTCTTATGTTATATAGTATTCCAGCATTTATCCTGCAGAATGCAGATTGACTTGACATCAATAAAGGATCTTCATTTTGTTATACTTCTCTTTCAGGCCGAATTTGTTTGAAGTGTCTGTAGCTGCTTTCTCATCTCTAAGTCCCACCTAAAATCCCCCCTCCTACAAGAATCCTTTCCCACTTCCCCTTAGTGGTAGTGTACTGTCACTCAGTAGTTATTTTCAGTTTTTCCTGTATAGATCTTGTTTGTACACAGTTGCTTGATGTTATGTCCCTCATGAGATTGTGAGCTTCTTGAGAGGGGGACTGTTTTTTGCCTTTCTGTGTTGTCTCCAGTGCTTAGCACACTTTAAATGCTTGTTGAAAAGAGGGAGAACCAAGATGGCAGAATAGCAGGAAGAAGTGGAGTCAACTTTTCTCCTCTCTAACTCTTCCACGGATATCTAAAATTAGTCCTGATTGGTAAATCTAAGAAAAGAATCTCACAGTGAATAATTTCTCCTTAGATTGGCATAGGTACACAAAGGAGGGAGTAGTATGGACACTGTGAGTGGGTTCTATCACGGAATGGCCTTGTGGAGCATTCCCAAAAAGGTATTGAAAAAGGACTGAGGCTGTGCACCAAGGCATGCAAAGGTCCCAGAGCCACACAGAGGAGGGCCTGACTTTGTGCGGGATGCAGAAATAGAGTACCAGTTGGCAGCTTTGTCACTCACTTATCCAACTCTGAGTCACAGATTGAGGGCGGACTGAAGGACAACCTGTGCTTAGGGTTGAGGTACCAGAGTGACAAGTCGTCATGGCCACTAGGCTGTGGACAGATCAAGAAGAAAGCTCAGAAGCAAGCTATAGCTATGTATCTCTGACCCTTGGAATAGAGCTGGATTTCAGTTCTGGCCTCCAGCCTAGTTTGAAACTTGCATCTGAATAAAGAGAGCAGAAATCCTAAACCAAAGGGAGCCTGCTTTTTTATCATTCCAAACCAGTAGAGCTTTTCAGTGGGTTGATAGAGGCCAAGTTCAGCAATCTACTGGAACTCCAGCCTGTGGCAGTGGCAAACCCACAGCTGTGTTCTTCAGACCCAAACTCAGGTGACGAACTTGCAGAGCTCAGCCTAGAAGGTGATCTCTTTAGATCTCTTAAGAGATCTGAAAGATACCATTTTATGTGCTTAGACTTTATCTGTCTCATTATGCCTTTTTTAAACTTAACATTTTCCCCTACTTATCCAGCATTTATAATTTCTCCTTCCCACCTTCACCATACTTACTGGTAGAAAAAATGATGACCTCCCCCACCCCCCATGAGAAAATGTACATAGTCATGCAAGACTGTATTGGCCATGTCCTTTCTGTGTATTTAGTCAATCTTCTCCCTGTCAGGACCACTTTTTCTTTTTGTCAGATGTCCTAGATGTTATTTATGGCACATCTCAAGCACAAATATTATTGATAGCATTGTTTTCATCAGGTTATGTTGAATTTTGTGTTTTTGAAGACCATTGTGTATTCTGTGATTTGCAATTAATAAAGCATCATCAGGACAGTATTTATGTTAAAGAGATCCTTTTGTGGTAGGGAGCAGCTTGTACTTATTTAAAGTATTTTGTTTCTTAAGGGAAATCTAGCCCATTCTTTTGTTATAAGTTCATCTGTAGGATACATGTGCACGAGCACACAACACACACACACACACACACACACACACACACACACCCACCCCTACACACGTACATATACCTGTCTATGTATCTCTCTATCCATCCATCAATCCACTAATGAATTGGCCATCCCATTGTATGTCAGTGTAGGCAATTTACAAAGCATTTTTTTGCTATCTGGATTGCTAGACTTATCTATTGAGTGATGATGGATCTTATTGAGACATTGCAACAGTTTATATGGAATACTTCTTTTTGAACTTTGTGCAGGATATCTTCATCCTTCATGACCGTGGCGCACACCTTCATTGAACATTTATTTTCCTGTTCTATAACTTGCCTGGGAGCAGAGGATCATTAAGCAAACTATCAGATTGCAGCCATCATGGAATCTTATGTAATATACATTTTCAGTGCATAGGAGACCTGCGGTGGGAAATCAAATGGCTATGTGCTATGCTACTTCTAAACCAACTCATTTTTCTGATTCAAAGCTGGTACTCTTTGGGCTCTTGTTGAAGTTCTGGCTTCAGCAGCTTTTTTAAAAATTTGTGATTTCCTCGGTATAGGGAAGCTCCTTCTGCTAGTGCAGTTCATTCAGTTCTATGCAACTTCTAGTATTAAAAGATTGTCTAGTTCCTTAAGTGACCGGTCACTCAGCCAGCATATGTCAGAGGTGGAACAGGAGCCAAGGTCTTTTTTGGCTTCGAGGACAGCTTTCTATCCATTATGACAAGTTGCCTTTTTATAACATTAGTTGGTACTTTAGTTCTTACCTCTAGAGCTGGGTGAACTGGTGTCTTGGCATGCCATTAAATATTTCACTCCTGTGACCCTTGTCCCAGCTTAGTTGTTATTTCCACTTACTTCCCTCCTCATGAGTAGTACTTTGTTCCCTGCAATTGCCTTTTTATAGTTGTGTAACCTCTTTATCATATAGTAATAATTACATTTAATTTTTTCTAGGAGCAAAGGGTTATTTTCTTTTAATTGTGAGATCACCTAAAGTAACATTGTGTGCTTATAATGCATGGGATCTAGAACTGAATGGGACCTTGGAAATTATGTAGGCCAACTTCCTAATTTTACAGATAAGAAAACTGAGACCCAGAGAGGCTATGTGAACTTGCTTAAAGTTACACATATAGTAAGCAGAGCTGGAATCTGAACATAGCTGCTTGAACTCCAAATCCAGTGCCTTTGCCACTATACAGTGAATTAGAAATTGATTTTTTCATGTGACTATGGATGGCTTTAATTTCTTCATCTGAAAACTGCCTGCTTGTATTCTTTGACTATTTATCAATTGGGGAATGACTTGTATTCTTATGGATTTGACTCAGTTCTCTATATATTTGAGAAATGAAGCCTTTACCAGAAATATTTCCTGTAAGTTTTCCCACAGTTTCCTTCTTTCTTCTAATCTTGGCTGCATTGGTTTGTTTGTGCAAAAATGTTTCAATTTATGATGATAAAACTTATCCCTTTTACATCCTGTGATCCTCTCTATCTCTTTTGTGATAAATTCTTCACTTATCCATAGATCTGACGAGTAAGCTATTCCATGCTCCCTCAATTTGATTATGATATCACCCCTTATGTCTAAACCATGTACCCATTTTTGCTTTATCTTGGTGTATGGTGGGAGATAATGTTCCATACCTTATTCTTGCCAAACTGCTTTCCAGTTCTCCCAGCAATTTTTGTCAAAAACTTGAGTTCTTTAAAACTCAAAAGCTTATAGAAGTGATTGTTGATAAATCAAAATAAATTAATTAAAAAAAAGAAATTTTTGCTTAATTTTATCATATTCATTTCTAAATATATCCACTGAGCCTTCCCCTTTAACAGTTTTTTTTTCCTTTTTGGTGAGGCAGTTGGGGTTAAGTGACATGCCTAAGGTCACACAGTTAAGTGTCAAGTGTCTGAGGCTGGATTAGAGCTCAGGTCCTCCTGACTCCAAGGCTAGAGCTCTATCCACTGCACCACCTAGCTTCCCCTTAACAATTTTTTTTAATATAAATTTATTTATTTTTAGTTTTCAAGATTTACTTCCACAAGATTTTGAATTCCACATTTTCACCTCATCTTGCCCCTCCCTCCACCCCAAGATGGCATGCATTCTGAACTCCCCTTCCCCAAGTCTACCCTCCCTTCTATCTCTCCCCCTGCCCCCCATCCCCTTCCCCTTCTGTTTTCCTGTAGGGCAGGATAATTTCTGTACCTCATTTCCTGTATTTCTTATTTCCCAGTTGCATGTGGAAATATATATTTTTAAACATGTGTTTTTAAAACTTTGGGTTCCAGACTTTCTCCCTTCCTCCCACCCCACCCACTCTCATTGAAAGGCAGGCAAGTCAATATAGGCCATACATGTGCAGTTATGCAAAACACTTCCATAGTAGACATGTTGTGAAAAACTAACTCTATTTCCCTTAATCCTATCCTGCCCCCCCCATTTATTCTATTCTTTCTTTTGACCCTGTCCCTCCTCAGAAGTACTTCCTTCTGATTACCCCTTTCCCAATCTGCCCTTCTCTCTATCATCCCCTGCTCTCTTGTCCCCTTCTTCCCCTATTTTCCTGTAGGGTAAGACAGATTTCCATACCCAATTGAGTGTGTATGTTATTCCCTCCTTAAGCCAAATCCTATGAGAATAAGATTCTCATTCTTCTCACCTTCCCCTGTTTCCTCCACTGTAAGAACCTTTTCTTGTCTGTTTTGTGCAGATAATGTACCCCATTCTACCTCTCCCTTTCTCCTTCTCCTAGTATAATCCTTCTCACCCTTAATTTTATTCTCCAGATATCACCCCTTCATCTTCAACTCACCCTGTGCCCTCTCTCTCTCTCTATCTATCTATCTATCTCTATCTATCTCTATCTATCTATCTATCTCTCTCTCTCTCTCTCTATACATACATATAATTTTTCCCCTCCCACTACCCTAATACTGACAAAGGTCTCATGAGTTATAAATATCATCTTTCCATGCAGGAATGTAAACAGTTCAGCCTTAATAAGTCTCTTATGATTTCTCTTTCCTGTTTACCTCTTCATGTTCCACTTGAGTCTTGTATTTGAAAGTCAAATTTTCTATTCAGCTCTGGTCTTTTCATCAAGAATGCTTGAAAGTCCTCTATTTCACTGAATCCATTTTTTCCCCTGAAGGATTATACTCGGTTTTGCTGGGTAGGTGATTCTTGGTTGTAATCCTATCTCCTTTGCCTCTGGAATATTATATTCCATGCCCTCTGGTCCTTAATGTAGAAGCTGCTAAATCTTGTGTTATCCTGATTGTGTTTCCACATACTTGAATTGTTTCTTTCTGGCTGCTTGCAATATTTTCTCCTTGACCTGGGAACTCTGGAATTTGGCTACAATATTCCTAGGAGTTTTCCTTTGGGGATCTCTTTCAGGGGAGATGGTGGATTCTTTCAATTTCTATTTTGCCCTCTGGTTCTAAAATATCAGGGCAGTTTTCCTCAATAATTTCTTGAAAGATGATGTCTAGGCTCTTTTTTTGATCATGGCTTTCAGATAGTCCAATAATTTTTAAATTCTCTTCCTGGATCTATTTTCCAGGTCAGTTGTTTTTCCAATGAGATATTTCACATTGTTTTCTAATTTTTCATTCTTTTGGATTTGTTTTACAGTGTCTTGATTTCTCATAAAGTCACTATCTTCCAATTGCTCTATTCTAATTTTTAAGGAAGTATTTTCTTCAGTAAGCTTTTGGACTTCCTTTTCCATTTGGCCAATTTTGCTTTTTAGGGCATTCTTCTCCTCATTGGCTTTTTGGACCTCTTTTGCCATTTGGGTTAGGCTATTTTTTAAGGTGTTATTTTCTTCAGTATTTTTTGGGTCTCCTTTAGCAAGCTGTTGACTTGTTTTTCATGATTTTCTTGCATCACTTTCATTTCTCTTGTTTTTCCTCTACTTCTCTTACTTGCTTCTCAAAATCCCTTTTGAGCTCTTCCAAGGCCTGGAACGGATTCATATTTTTCTTGGAGGCTTTGGATGTGGAGCTTTGACTTTGTTGTCTTCTTCTGGTTGTATGTTTTGATCTTCTTTGTCACCAAAGTAAGATAATATAGTCTGACTCTGTTTTTGAGGTTTGCTCATGATCCCAGCCAACTACTTGAATTTTAAACTCTTTGTTAAGGTAAAAGTCTGCTTCCAATGTGGAGAATGTACCGTCCCAAGCTTCAGGGGTTTGTATAGCTGTTTTCAGAGATACTTTCTAGGGACCTGTAAATTTTCAGTTCTTCCAAGGTGGTATGATAAGGGTCGAGGTGTTTACTCTTTTCCTGGCCTGTGCTCTGGTCTTTGAGTGACTGGCCACAAGCAGTCTTTTCTGTCTTGGAACTGTGAGGAAGGTTTCCTGTCCACAGCCACTACAAGCTCCACCATGCAGCGCTCCTCTCACCCCAGGACCGCCACCCAGAACTGTGACCCAGATCCAAGCACAGGCAAAGCAAGAGATTCCTGCCTCAGCAGTAGCAAAGAGATCCCTGCAATCCCCCTGATCAGCCACTTGATTCCCCCTCAGTCTGTGGGCTGGAAGCTCAGGACACAGCCACGGCTTGGCACCTGAGTTCTGCGCCTAGCTTTCTCTCACTGAAAAAACAGACTTTCCTACTGACCTTCTGAAGTTGTCTTTGGCATTCATGGATTGGGGTCTGGAAACTGCCACAGCTGCCTGTGATTCATTCCTCTGAGGCCTGCTCCAGGTTCACTGCAGCCTGCATGGCCATGCCAAACTGCGCTCCTCTACCCGCCCGGGGCGATATGCCTTTCTGATCAACCATCCAGGCTGTCTTGGGCTGGAAATTTGTTTTACTCTGTCTTTTTGTGGGTTCTGCTGCTTTAGAATTTGTTTAGAGCCATTTTTTTATGGGTATTTGGAGGGGTTTTGGGGAGAGCTCAAGCAAGTCACTGCTTTCACTCCTCCATCTTGGCTCCGCCTCCTTAAATTTTTAAAAAAAATTCAGCTACATATCAACTACTTTTGACAGTATATCTCCAATAAAGGGAGTGCTGTATATTCTTAGCTCTTCCCTGGGTTCAGGATTGGTCATTATAGTTACACAGCATTCAAGTGTAGTTCTTCCTGTTTATGTTATTGTAGTCACTGTGTATATTTTCTGTTCTGATTTATTCTGTATGAGGTCCATTCTATTAGTTCATGCATCTTTCTGTATTTCTCTGACTTCTTTATATTCATTGTTTCTTATGTTTCCATTATAATAAATAGGGTGTGTATACTGTAAATGGTAGTCTCTTGTTTATTCCTTTTTATCTATTGTGACTTCTCATAAGAATTTTGATTTGTGTTTTCTTATTCTGAGGAACTAAACACATGCTTAGGGGGAAAGCCCCTATCATTCAGCCACATTAGTGTATATAATTGAATCAGTCAGGAAGCCTTAATCTTTAGCGGACACATAACAGTAACACTCATTTTTCTAGGTTATAAAACAGTTTATGAAAAATAACCCTGCGAGGAAGGTCATACAAATGTTATCCTCATCTTTGAGAAAACTGAAAGTGATTTGCCTGAATTCAAACAAAATATAAACAGGAATTCATTCCAGTATTTGTGACTTCAAGTCCAGGCCTCTTTCTAATATACCACATTACCTCTTGCGATCCTGTTCCCTTAATAAATGTTCTCAGGAAGTGCTTTTCAAGAATTCTTTTCACATGGGTTCAGATGCATTTTCTTTCTTTCCTTCCTTTTTCTCCTCCCCTCCCCTCCTCTCTCCTATCCTCTGCAAGTATACATTTTTCCTTTACTCCTAAATTGTGATATGTAACCTCCATTCTTGGTTACCATTCCCCTCCCCACCCTGGACACTTTTCATCTGGTTCTATTCAAGTTCATTGGGCACTTTGCTCCCAGATACTTGTCTTCCTCCTTAGGATGTCTTTGTTGCATTTTATCAATGTCAGTATTGTTCTGTTTTGAACAGCTTCCTATCTTAATCACAGCTTTCACCTCCCTACTTCACCTATTTCAGCAAACTATGTGTACACAATTGTACAGTAGAGAAACCTTGTATTTGCTCCCAGACTTCAGATAATTCCTTCTGTGGCAGTACCAGTACTTTTATAGGTTTAAAACTTATCATTTTTTGTTCTTTAATGTTGTAACATTGCTTTTGCAAAAAATGACTTAGATACCTCCTAAAGATTGGATTGATTGAAATATGTAATGACAACCCTAATTTCTGTAATACTTTAAGACTTTAAAAAATGTTTATTTTAAATAAAATTTTAAAAATTACTGATATCTTTTGTTTTATATTGCTTAAATTTCCACATTATTCCACATTCTTCTCCCAGAGGAGTCATATAACCAATCGTTTTTTTTTTGTTTTTTTGTCATTTTTGTTTTTTAAAAGAAACAGCCTCAGAAGATACCCCTTCTTCACTTCTCTTTTAGAGGAGAAAGAAAAAGAGGATGAGAAGTCATCCCTGCTTCATTCCTTTGCAAAGGATGTGGAACATTACATATATTTTCAGGTGTTTTCAGTGTATTAATTGTTTTTTCTGATGTTTCCTCCCTCCTCTTCCTCTTTTTCCCTTTAAAAAATAATTTTTTTTATGAGATGGCTCTGAGAGAGGAAGAGGAGGGATGCTAGGGAAAATTCTGGTGACGTTAAGATAGCAAGAAAAATTTATTTTAAAAGGAGGAAGAAGAAAAAAAATAAGCAAAACTGATCAATATATTGAAAAAAGTCTGACGATATATGCAGTGTTCAACACCCAAGGACATGCCTCTCTGCAAAGGAATGAAGAGAGACATCTTCTCATTGGCTCTTCTTTGGGGCCATGCTTGTTCTTTTTAATTTTGCAACATTCATTTTGATTTGAGGTCATTCTTTCAATTAATTGAAATTACTGGTGTTGATAATGGTCTTGTACATAGTTTTCTTGGCTCTGCTTACTTCATTTTGTATCACCTCATTACAGATCAGTTCTTTACAAAAACTTGTAAGAAGATGATGCAAACCTTAAGATCTCTGTTTTATGGATAAGAAGTAGAGGCTTAGAGAGGCAGAATATGTAGCACAAAAAATACTGCATTTGGAGTCAGCCCTGGAATTGAATCTTCCCTCTGTTTCTCATTGCCTGTGTGACATCTGGGCAAGTCATTTAATGTCTCATAACCTTAGTTTCTCATCTGTTTAGAGAAGGGAGTTTGATTGGAAGACTTCTGAGTTCTCTTTCAGTTTTGAATCTGAGGGTTCTGTGGAGGGGAAATGATCTGCCCAGAGTTGTACAGTAAATGGCAGAGCTGGGTTTGAAACTTGGGTTCTTTGACTTACATTTCAGTGCTCTTTTCCTTGCTCCATCAATGTCAAGATGAATGGGGGTGGGGAGTGAACAAAGAAAGTTGTGTTTTATTCCAGATTTGAACCAAGGTATTAGCTGATCCTTCTTTAATAAGCTTATAAGTAGGTATGAATTCTTTCAAAGACTTTTTTTTCCTTTTTCAAATAGAAATTGAAGTTACAAAATGGAGAAATGACAAAAGAAGATAGACTGACTGCTTCAACACAGTCTTCTCCAAGTAGTACACCCCATTCTTCTCCCAAGCAAAAGCCTAGGTATGCCAATTCCCCAGGATCCCTTCCTACAAAACTATCACCAAAGCTTTCAAAATTAGGGTTAGCCTCATTTTGGACTCTTACGAGCATGTTGTAATCAATAACGTCTATTTATATAGCACTTTGAGGTTTATAAAACACTTTTCCTATATTATCTCATTGGAGCTTCACAATAACTTTGTGAAGCAGGTGCTTTTATTCTACTCTAGAGATGAGGAAATTGAGGCTAAGTGGTTAAGTGACTTGGCCTGGTAAGTTTGCACTAGCTTTATTTATAAATTTATACTCAGGTCTTCCTGAATACTGTTAAGTCTAGCACTGTATCCATTATGCCATCTAGCTGACATCTAAATCTTCCTCATGTGATGGTAGGTCATGTTTTCTGAATTTAGCATTGTGTTTACATTTTACTCATATACTCCTATGTGGTTTCCAAATGAATAGATAACATTTGGAACTGTAGATGTGTAGCATTATGATAAAGAAAGTCTGTATAGACATACCTTACCTAAGGTTTTAATTAGATCTTTTGAAAGACCAGTGTGAGATAGATTATTATGAGGGCAATTTGTGCCATAGGAATGATATTGTGCTTAACATCTGGTGGTGTTTGGTTATATATTGATCATGTGTCTTCTGATACTTCATTTGTACCTTGGTTGACCGTAGATGCCAAAAATGCATAAGCTTTAGTTAGGTATTACCAAGTTGGGAAGACCTTTGATGGAATGTAATGCCTGTTGTATTCTAGCTAAGTCAGGGGAGGCTCATTACCTGATTTCTTGCAAGAGAAGGGTCCAGAAGAATGGTTATGTTCTTGGAGTTATGGCAACATTAAGGGTACATCTATGATTGAAAGGTGTCAGTGAACCATGATTTCCATGTTCCAGTTCTTCACTTGGAAGTTTCTGATCATTAGAGGATATACTTAAGGTATATTTTTAGAGGTTTTTATGTGATGGTTCTTGTGTGCCTTATGGACTTTGCTTGTGACTTTTCCTTTTAGAGGCTGGTTTACTCATGGATCTTCTACTTCCTTACCTGGACTAGATATCTGCAGCATGGACTCTGAGAATGGAGATAGAGACAAACCCTCATCTGAAAAATGGAGCCTTTTTGGACCAAGACCAAGAACCCTTCAGAAATCCGACTCGGGTATTGTGTTGAAGGGGTCATTTATAAGAGTTTTTCTGGGATAAGAAAGAGGAAAACTACATAGCTAAGAGGGATTGTGCTGTTTTCTGGATGGTTTCCATTCCAACATTGCTCAAAGTCCTTCATTAGCATTGGAAATAACATTAAATAACTTTATGTACAGTGTCTTATGTGATTGCTTAAGACCAAAGGGCCATAGAATTAAGGACTGGAAGGAAATCTTAGAGATAATCTAATTAGGGGGTGGGGAACCTTTGGCCTTGAAGCCACATGTGGCCCTCCATCTCCAGGTCCTCAAATTCAGTCTTTGGACCTAGAAGGCCACATGTGGCCTCAAGGCCAAAGGTTCCCCACCCCTGATTCTAAACCTTGTCATTTTTATGTATCAAGAAACTAAGAGGGGCAGTTAATACAGCTCTGGCCTTGGAGTCAGGAGGACCTGAATTCAATTCCAGCCTCAGATACTTAACACTTAACTAGCTGTGTGATCCTGGGCAAGTCACTTAACCCCATATGCCTCACGAAAAAGCCAAAAAAACCCAAAACAAAGAAACTGAGGTTGGTAGTGTCACTTGCCCAAGATTGCATAGGTTATTAGTAGCAGAGCTGGGATTCACGCTTAAATTTCCTAATCCAGTGCCTTTTCTGCTGCACTAAACTGCCTCTTAACAAAATGCTTCTGGAACACTAAAGTGTTGAAGCGGATCTCTTTGCTGACCAATATTGCTAAACACACTTGAACTTCAGGTTCCAAGGATTTTGGATTGTTTAAAGTCCAGCCTGGGGAGGTATGGGGGATCGAGGTGAAAGTTTGTTGTGAAGCAATTAAGTTTGTGAAAAGGGAAGGGAGCAAGCATTTACATAGTGGTAACTTTATGCCAGGTACTATGCTAAGCATTTTACAAGTATTGTCTCATTTGATCCTCACAACGACCCTGAGAGGTGGGTGTTGTTATAATCTCCATTTTATGGTCAAGGAAACAGGCAAATAGAAGTTAAGTAACTTGGCTAGAGTCACACAGCTAGTAAGTGTCTGAGGTCATATTTGAACTCATCTTTCTGATTCTGGGCCTAGCACTCTATTCCTAGGATAGTAACTTATTGCTTACATTGACAGGAGTTGTAAAGAAGTAGGTGTTCATTGCTCATGAAAGGCGGTTTGATAAAAAGTAAAAAATAAAATAATTTTCTTCAGGGTTTTAAATTTTTACAGCATGATTTGTTCAGTGCTATAATGTATCAGTATAGTGTTCCCATTTTATAATTGGGAAAATGGAGACCCAAAGGTAAAATATCTTACCCCACAGTCACAAAGCTAGTGTTAGTCCAGACTTCAACTTGGAGCTCCTGACTCCCAAGGATAGTGCTCTTGGCACTAACCAGTATCATGGCATAGGAAAGAAGAGATTTTGAGTTGAGAATATGGTCTTCTAGTTTGACACACCCACACCACTTAGTTGTGACCTTGGGCAGTTGTGAGCTCTTAGTTCATCTGTCAAATGGGGAATTTCCTTCTTTCTCCACCCCCTCCCACCCCATCCCCCACTACAGGGTTGGGTGTAGGGGTTGTGTATGTATCCTTTAACAAATGGGGAATAGGTTGGAGATAAAGCTTTGTCACTTAATATTTAAATATAGTCATAAAGGGACACTGCTGAGGGAAAAAGAGACCACTTCCTTATGCTAGTACTTTACTCTGTTGTATCATCTCTTCTCCCTCCTCCCCCGCAAAAGCACTTGTCCCCTTAGTTCTGGGGTGATGGGGAGTCACCATGCTGTATGACACTTCCCAAGATGGGTTTCTGAATGTTTTATAAATCAAACTTGTGACTGTGTATAGAGCTTTGTGACCTACCCCAAGTTGTTTTTGTTCTAGGTATCCAGCCTCAGAAATGGAAATAATCTGTCTTCTGTGGCTTTACTTACTTCACTCAGGTTTCAGTGTCCAGTCCTACAGAGGTACTCAGAAGCCATCACCAATGGAGATCATTCGGGTTCAGGCTACTAGAATTGCAGAAGACCCAGCAGCGTTCAAGCCACCTAAGATGGACCTTCCTGTGATGGAAGGAAAGAAACCACCTCCACGAACCCATAACATCAAACCAAGGGACATGAATGTGTTGACTCCTACAGGATTCTAAAGCTCCCCTTTTCATATGAGCAAAGTTTTTTCCCTGCTGACCACTGTTATGTAGAGAGAGAGTATTTTAGACTTTTCTTTTCTTCCCATCCATCTTGCACTTGATGTAGGAATGATGTCATCCATTTACAATTCTGCTGAAGATAATATTCCTGGGGAAGTAGTGATTGTTTCTTTTAAATATTTGTAGCAAAGCTTGAATCTTTCTAATGCAGAAAAACCTATTCTGTAATGTCCCAAAGTTGGTATGAATAACTTCTCAAAGTACACTTGATCACAGCCAGTTACTGATGTATAGAACTAGATTGCAGGGGGTGAGGGAAATCATTAAAATCTGGTAGACTTTGTTCTGCATATTTTATCCAAGATAAATATTTGTTTGGTGCTTCTTTCTTTGATAAAGAACATTTCTATTTTCTATCTTAGTTGCTGGAGTTAACAGCTTCTTCTTAGAGAACACTGCTTCTTTAGAATCAGGGCACTGGTTCAGGAGCCCTGTTTCCTGGTTCCTTCCTGGCCAAGAATAGAGATAGGCAGTAGCCTAACAGGAAAAGTCTTTTGGAAGTGGCGACTGCTGCTGTCCTGTGACACTTATGTAAAAGATATTTAAAAGGTCCTTTGGTCAAGGGCTTGAAGCAGAAGATTTGGTCTGCTCTGCCCTACCAGTGGAATTTTCTTTTCAGAAAGACTGAATGCTAAGGATTGTGGTTTGTCACTGAATTGCTGCCTTCAGTAGATAAATAAGTGGTCTGTGTTCACTTTAGCAATAGGTAGCACACTAAGCTCATAGAGACTAATAACTGATTCTTTTTTTAGTGAGGCAGTTGGGGTTAATTGACTTGCCCGGAGTCGCAGCTAGTGAGTGTTATGGGTCTGAGGCCGGATTTGAACTCGGGTCCTCCTGACTTCAGGGCCGGTGCTCTATCCACTGCGCCACCTAGCTGCCCTCATTCTTTTAAATTTGTAAGGGAGATTCTGTGCAATGTTTTGTGCTGTAGAGGAACCGCTGAAATAACTTATTTTTTAAAAACTTGAAAACTCAAGGAAGCTTAATCTTCAGTGATCTGAGGTAAATCATCCTGTGACTTTTAACCTCCTCCCCAAGTATTGGCCTGAATCCTTTCTTAATAGAAAAGGATAGCTGGGAGAAATAAAAGCTTTTCTCTTTGGGAATTTAAAATGAAACTGAACCATCCCTTCATTCTCCCCTCCCACCAACAGATGATTGAAATAATTTTATTACCCTTTTACATCTCTGTGCTCTCATTCTTGGAAGCCTGTTTCATCTCCTACTTCCTGGTTTTGTTAAAGAAACACAGTACCCATGAGGGCTTGGGCCTTTGTATTTCATGTTGTTTACTATTCATTCCTTTTTAATGTGTTGACCTTGATTTGAGAAAAATTCTCTGGATTGTAGGTTTTTGCAAGGGTAGAAAAATAGAAGCAATAGGGGAAGATAGTGATCCTGTAGTTCACAACTTCCTTGTGCCAAATAGTGGGGAACATAGGATTTTTATCTGGAGGACCTTAAATTTGATCTAGCCCCATCTCATTTAAGAAATAATTTGCCCACAGTCCTGGCAGCTGACACTTGGAGATGGACTGCTACATACATTAAAGGGAGCATCTAAGTGTGAAGAACACCTAGCTGAGTCTGAAGAAGCTGGGCGCGATTCGTGTGGTCACTTGGAGCATGGAAAAATATGGAAGCTATACAGACAATATCATGGATCTCAAAATTAAAGGAGGTTGGAACCTCTGATCCATGTGCCCAGGGGAGGGTCCTAGAAATATCTGATACAATCCTTCAAAACCTTTATGATTTAATCTGTTATTTTTTTCTGCTGCCAATCTCCATCATAGTGATTGGTCTTCATGAGATGTATCAAACTTCATGATTACATAGCTACTTTGTCTTCAGATTGCAAAGTCCAATTATAAGGCCCAAACTTGAGTCCTTTTGCCCTAAGTAGGGCCTGGCCTTTGAGAGCTCCCCTGGGATTGGACAGATTCTTCAACTCCAATGTAGAACCCTGCTCCTCAGTGGTTATATAATTTAGAGTTAGAAAGAACCTTGGGTCACCTCATGCATTCCACTCATCTTACTGGAGGAAATTGGCCTGGAGAGGGGAAATGGCTCGTTTGAAGTCATGGCTCTTTTCATGTTATCGCCTTCCCCCAATGAGGGAATAAAACCAGGGAGGTTTAAATTGGGATTTTCATCCCTAAGAAAGCAACTCAAAGACCATACTTGGCAGGAAGAAAGCTTTAGCACAGAAAGTTCCTTAAAAAAATATTCTACACATGAGAAATAATTATAAAATAGATATAATTTGTATATCACTATAAGGTGTGATTTTTCTGCAAAAGCCCCTAAGGCAACTTGTCATGTTGACTTGGGAAGTTGAGAGTTCTCAGCCATCGTCCTACTGGACCCTGTTTTCTGGCACAAAGTTACTGTTGGTTGCACAGAGGAGGAGTAGTTTGAGCAGGAACACTTTCTCCTGGAGCTGGGGTACTAGGGGCTCCCCCAGCTCTTGGGCTAGTCGGATTCGGAAAGCTGTAAACTCCATTTCCACATCCACTGCAGTGATATCATCCCCTTCCTGTAGATGGGGCCTAATCTTTTTGATAAGCAGATCCTTCCTTTCAATGACTGAAGTCCTTAAGTGCTCTGAAATAAAAAAAAAGACATCAGAGATGTGAAATGTCTTTCCAGTACATAAACACTCTCTGATGGCCTTCAAATTTCACCTAATCTTAAGGAGGCTCAATCATTTGAGTTTTAAGGTACCACCTTACTCAATTCTGTGTACTTCCTACGGCTGTAGAGATCATTTTTCTGAAAGAAAAACCCAAGGCACAGAAATGGCCTCTTCCATTAGCTTATGGGGCTTGGTCTGGCCTAAGTTGTTTTTGGACCATCAGAAGTTAGGAGGGGTGTACACAGAGGTTCTAACTAAAGTTTTTCATCTGCCTTGATGATAGGTTAGCGTGCATTTCCAGGTGGGGAAAAGTTGGGCTAAGATACTCATTCTTTCAAGAAATTAAAGCACTAATTAAGCACATATTGGGTGTAGGTCTTGAGATAAAAAGTAAACTCACTAGTGTAGCCGTTAAGACCTTTAAGGTGCCTTCCTTATAATAACCCTGTGTTCTCTTCATTTTACCTAAGGAAACTAAAGCTTGGAGAAGTAAAAGTGACTTCTCCAATGTTACACAGCTAAAAAGTTTTAAAGCCAAGTGTTCTGGGGTTTGTTTTTGGTTTTTTGGAGGCAGTGGGGATTAAGTGACTTGCCCAGGGTCACACAGCTAGTGTCAAGTGTCTGAGGCCAATCTGAGTCCTGACTCTGGCCAGTGCTCTATCCACTGCACCACCTAGCTGCCCTGAGTCCAAGTTTGTTCTATACTTTGCTCTACATCAGTCCTTCCATGGAGGCCAGCCTTGAATAAAGGAGTCACACTGGAGAGAAAAAGTTCCAAGGGCAGGATTTACTGGTAGAGATCTTGAAAGCAAGGCTAAAACTTGTAAAGGGGACCACAGGGTGTGGGGACAAGGGATTCACTTTCCTTTTTAAGTCCATTTCCTTATCTGCAAAATAGGAGTAGAGGGAGGAAAGACCAGATGACCTCTAAGATTCTTTTTAGTACTAAATCAAGTCCTAATTTAATTTAGTACTAATTCAAGCTCATATCCTTTGTATCACTTCTGAATAGGGCTTTGTTAATATACAATGGAATCAGGGAATCTGATTTTAAAGAAAGCTCTGGTAGTACATATGTGACTCTGGGCAAACTTTCTTGAGCCTCAATTTGTTCACCTGTAAAATGGGAGGCCTTCCCTGATTTCCCCTAGTTGCTAATAAAGCATGTTAGAGTTAGAAGGACTTAGAGAACTTACATTTGACATCAAGGGGATAGGAACATAGTAACCTAATGAATATATGCCTTTCAAAATAAAACTATTATAGCCCAGTTTGTGAACTTGTATAACTGTAGAACAAATTTTGAGGGAGATGATATCATCATTATAGCTAACAATCCTAACAAATATTTAATATGTGCTAAATGCATTTTCTCTCATTTAATCCTCACAACCACCCTAAGAGGTAGGGGCTACAATTTTACAGATGAGGAAACTGAGGCAAACAGGTTAATTGTCTTGTCCATGCCTTTATGAGCCTCTGCATCTCCCACAAGTACAAAATGGGCTGCTTACCTGTTAACACGTGCTGATAACTAGATAAGAGAAATTGTAGATGTTCAAGGAGCTCATCCCAACTCTGCCACTGGCTTTTATCAGACTGAAGGAAAAAATTAAGAACCATTAATCCCTTGTGATCATTCTGTGCTTCATATTTTTCAAAGTACTTAAAGTTTTAGGGGACAGAGTTGAGGGTGGGTAGGAAACATGTGAAGGGCCACCATATGGAACAGGGATTAGACTTGTCTTGATTGGTTCCAGAGTGCAGCACTAGAACCAGTGGTCAAAAGTGGGAGAGAGAACATTTTAACACTCAAGAGCTGTCCAACAGGCTGCCTAATAAACATAGTGAGAGCCTCACCACCAGACAACAATTGGGCCACGTAGTAGTGAGAATTCCTGCTTCAGGCAGGAATAAATTTGATGACCTCTGAGGGTGCTTTTAGTGCTATTTCACATTATCTTAGGCAATGTTCAATCCAGTGTCCAGGCATCTGGAATGAGGTGCTGAAAAAAGTTAGAAGGATCTACCTGATTCTTCAGCAGTGATGTTGAATGGTTGAGGAAATAGAGGGTCTGGGCAAGAGAGAGTGGTAGGGAAGTAGGCTTTTCACAGCTGTGGAGGAATAGAACCTCTAGTACTTTGCAGCGCAAGAGGTGACTCTCCATTGTTGTAAAGAAGATTTCCCTGCAAAGGGGGATGGGGGGGAAAAGGGAAAGGGGAAATAGAGGAGAAGAGGGTACAAGAAAGAGAGAGCATGAGATTAAATTATCAAAAATGAAACCAAGTCACTGATACCCTGAAAATAGGGTAATGAATATATCCTGGCTTTATTCTTTCCCCCTAAGCTACCAGCCATCTTAATTCAGTTCACCAGGGCACCTTAATCTCAGAAGCTACTGGATTGTAAGCTTGGAGAGTGCAGGAATTGCCATCTTTCACCTGTGTATGCCTGACACCAAAATATAGGGTCCTCTGCACAGATGGCATTTAACAGAGGAGATGGGTGACAGTGGGCATAAGTGGGCATACCATGTTCTCTACCCTACCCTCTACCATCTGGAGCACTGTTGTCTAATTCTGAGAGTCACTTTTAGGAAATATACGGGCAATGTAGAATGTCTAGAAATGGCTGAATGATAAAAGGCCTCAAAGTATTCCTCCTCCAAACTTCCTTATTGCTG